TCTCTCTCTCTCTCTCTCTCTCTCTCTCTCTCTCTCTCTCTCTCTCTCTCTCTCTCTCTCTCTCTCTCTCTCTCTCTCTCTCTCTCTCCGCGCCCACACTGGGCATGCGCGAATGAGATGTGTGCCTCTCTCTCTCTCTCTCTCTCTGTGCCCCCTTCCTAGTAGTATGCCGTTGTCTCCCTCCCTATCTCTCTCTCTCCCTCTCGCTTTACTCCATCGGTGCAAACTCAAGCCGTTGTGAGCATCTGGTGAGGCTGCATGTTTGCTGTCGCATGTGTGGTTACTTGGTTTCTTTATTTCTTTTTTTGTTGTTCTGATTTCCCTTTCTTTTTTTTCTTTTTTTTTAGATCAGATATTAAACTGATCAGAACAGATACTACACTTGATCTTAGCCAAAAGGCCGAGAAAGGTATTGTTGTTTTGATATCCTTATTTTTGCAACGTTTTTTTTTTTTTTTCTTTTTTTTTCTTTTTTTTTTTTTTCCATCCAGGGATGTGTAATGTTTCCACATGTGCGTTCTGCACCGTTGGTCCAGAATGTGCGCGCTGCAGGTCGTTTCATTTGGCAACTGAGCCCTCCAGTCCATGCCCTCTCAGCCTCCTACTGGCCTTCTGCCTGGCCGAAATTTCACTGTGCTTTTACACAAGCGGAAATTTGACCTGGCAGGGGCTGAGGCTGGTGGTTTGATACTCACTGGCGCTTACTGTTTCACTTACTGTTTCACTTATGACATTGACTGCTTTCCATTTGCCTCTGTGCTTGGCTGCCAGAGTATTGGTATTCTTTGCAGACATGTAAGTATAGTGTTGTCACGTCTCATGTGCCAGGTACGGGATAAAGATGTCGGCTTGTGGTCGTTGTGTGAGTTCCAGGGACTTGTGCCTTACCACCTGGTGCTCTCTGCATCCACTCATCCATAATTGTTGCCGTCTTTCTTTAGCTCTCACCCTCCTGCGTACATTCCTTCTGGTCATTTGCCTGAGCTTCAGCAGCTTGTGCTTGAATACTGAAGTGTCGTGTTCTTCTCTGCAGTCGTTCATCCATGATTGTTGCGGTCTCTTTCTCTAGCTCTCGCCCTCCTGCATACCCTCCTCTCTTCAATCTGCTGTCTGTTTGGGTTGATTCACCCGTCGTTTGCTGTTTTGAGACACTCCAAACCGACTGGTGTTGTCTTGGTGATGCTGCTGTGAGATTCCCTTTCCCCCTCGATGTGACCGAACTGCAAGGAGAAACCAATCCAGAGAAACCATTCTTTGGAGTGGTTTCTCTCAGATTGCGAGGGTCTGCTTTCTGGTTGTTCGATTTCCTGTAGATCACGTGCAATACTGATGGGCACTGATGCACTTGTCATTGTGTATTGTTTTCTTCGAGTTTAGGATCTCATGGTGATTGAGAAAGTAAGGGAGAAATTGGCTTCACATTTAGGTCGACCTCCTACAACGCGTGAATGGGCAGCGGCGCTTCGTATCGACCAGACAAGCTTTGAAAGGCGTTTACGGGAAGGCAGGGTGGCAAAGGAAATGATGGTTGAGGCCAATCTGCGTCTTGTTGTTTCCATTGCTAAGAAGTATCAAGGGCGAGGGATGACATTCCAAGACTTAATTCAGGTGTGTCCATTTGCCTCTTTCCTTTTTTTTCCCACAAAACCCAAGACCCTTTCTATTCTGGGGGGGCCGTCAATCCAGTTGCTTATCACCGGCAAGTATGAGTTCAAGAGAGAGAAAGAAGAGAAGAAGAGACAGCCTTACCCTTGCGGTACTAGCCTCCTACAAGGGAGAGGGGGAGGTTCTCACAGAGCGTCTCACCCCCCAAGCCGTGGCCTTTCTTCAGGGGCTCTCCTGCTTGCCAGAAAGCTTACTAGCAGCACCCAGTCATGCAGCAGGGGGTCCCAAGAAGGGCGGGGCGCGGGGGAGGCGTTCGCATCCGTTTTTATTTTTTATTTTTATAAATGGATGTGCCAGAACTCTATGCACGGGATTACATATGATTGTCATCCTCCATCTGGCTTTCCATTTCCCTTCAGTTCATGGTGTCAGCGATGTGATAATGTGTTGCGTCTCTACATGGCTTAAACTTTTATGTTGCTCACTTTTCCCGTGCAACACATAGCAGCTGAACTACCCCATTCTGGCTCTAGGCCATAGGCATGATAGGACTGTCAAGGATGTACCATTCTTGACATCTGGTCTGCACTATTCTCTCTCTCTCTCTCTCTCTCTCTCTCTCTCTCTCTCTCTCTCTCTCTCTCTCTCTCTCTCTCTCTCTCTCTCTCTCTCTCT